GAATATTTTATTTGATTGCAAAGGCTAAAGAGGTATCTTCAGTGGGGTAGATAATTGGGTTCAAAGACGCGTGATTTCATTCATTTTGTTGTGGCTATGGTAATAGTGTCATGGGTCCATCAGATTGGTTAAAAACTATTGAAAAAGACTTGAGAAAGGAGTGTACAGACTTTAGCCTGAGTTTGATGATAAGTGCTTTGTTTTGTTTTTGAGTTTAGTAATGAGTACGATTGAATTTTTAGCAACGAATGTTGTAATATCGATGGAGATGCAATCAATAATAAGCGAAGATCCATGAATTCCTAAAAATCTTCAAGCTACAAGCTAATGTTGATAGATAACAGGATTGTGTTATACGGTCGAATTTACAATTCATATTTGTCATTGTAAGTTTACATTCGTGTTGATTTTTTTTCAAGGTATGAATTAGCAATGTGAGAAACGATTAATTGTATTCGGTATTGAGCATCTGAAAGGACTTACACCTAGGTTGAGTCGAAAAATTATTATTGTTGATTGTTAAGTACCTAAGAAAGGTTTTCATTTAAAAGTGTTGGTTTATAGTATGGTAGATGGTCGGAGTGTTCATGATGGTTGTTAGTATTGAGAGTGTGGACTTCAGTGGAGTGATGTGATGAGTATGTGGAGTCAACTCAATGGAAAGGACTGGTATTGACTCTTCTAAGGAAAACCTTTAGTGTTATTCCGTAAAAATTTTACGTGACCATCTATTTTGTTTTGTACACGGTTATGAGTATGTTTCACTAGCTATGATCACATGTGTTCTCACTTTTGTGGGTGGATCCCTAGTGGTGGATCAGGGGTACCAATCCTGCGATGTTCTCTTGGTTGAGTGGGATGATTATGAAGATTTGGTTATTTCAGATGACATATTTGGCGTTGTCTTAAAGTTTTTAAAGTATTTCAGTGGTTCTCCATGTACCACCTTGCTTATGAGAAATCATAGAAGAGCTACCATGTGTAATTATGGTTGTCCGACAATCTTAATATTCATTTTATCGTTGAGGTCATGTAACGATTATGTGTGGTTGAATATGGGGATCATTAGGTCCAGTTCTACTGTTCTTAAGGGTAATCTACAATCACAATAACTAAATCTAGCACCTCGATAGTGTTGCTAGAGGGTTTATATGCTTGGAGATATCCCTCGATGAGTATATGATGTCTAAAGATCAAATTTTGTAACTTAAGCTCATGGAAATTTATGTTGGGAGATTGAGATGTTGATAAGAACTATATTAGTTTGGTATTATGAGTGTGTGTGGGTTCATTCAGATTTACTTCTAATTGTAGCGAATGTTGATTTGGAGTTTTATCATGGTTAAGTGCTAAAGAACGTCCGGATGATTGTGTCAATGTCCTTGATAACATGGTGCAAACGTGTGTACGATCAACTTTGGTGGTTGTTGGGAATTTTTTTGTTGTTAGTTAAGTTTACAAACAACAAAATTTATCACTCGAGTATTGAGATGACTTCATTGAGGCATTGTATGGGAGGATGTGTAGGCATTCAATTGGTTGGTTTGAGGTTGGTGATGTGAAAACCTTAAGGGGTAATGAGATTCGGTAAGAAGGGCATGCAAGACAAATATCCCCATCTATTCGATGATTCAGAGACTACTCTACTCTTGTTTTAGCCCTTTTCTTCTAGTTTGTCACTCGGAGACGAGTGATGGGTAAATTGGTATCTAGTGTAACGACCTGATTCCGTCGCTATGAAAAAGACAACAGGGAAATTTTTTGGCCGAAAAATATTTTGGTAGTAACTTGAGAATTCCTAGCTTAGTCCCGATTTGGATGAAATCAGAGTCAATGAGGTTTAGGGAGATATGATAATTAATGAGAGATCTAATTATGAATTTGATCATATGAGTAGATAGCTAAGCCATTAAGGAACCCGTACGACTTTACGGAATTCAATTCGGGCAAGTAGAACGCTCGAAATTGATCTTAGCGTGAAATGGTAATTTCTGAGTGTCATGGAATGAAGGTGTGTTGTGAAATGGGGGGTTTGAAACTCTTAATTAACTCACTGTTTATGTGCAAGCAGCCAAGGCGGGATTATTCCCGCGAGGTGTAACACCCCTAAGTTAGTAGGGTAAACTAGAGCCTAATGTGAGGGTTAACGCCAAGAGTGAAAGAGGGAAAGGGCCTAATCTACCTTGGGAAGGGTGAAGCAAAATACTTTTCCCTTGGACCTTTTGGTGAGGGGGCATCATAGTCTCCCAAGTGACTTGGCGAGTCGCCAAAGTGCACCTGGAGTCACCTAGTGGACTGTCCCCATGGCATAGCTGCTGGAAATTTGGGTGAGCTAGGTCGGGGATCGCCAACCCGTTTGGCGCATCGCCCAAGGGTCTCCCCCATCGCCAAGTTGGCTGGCTTCTTGGGGTGAGATGCTGGAAAAGTTGGCGGACCAAGGGTCCACTTGGCGAGCTAAATCGTGTAGGTTGGCAGCGTTTGAGTTAAAGCCTTAGGGGTCTTGAGTTATTTTTCCTAAATTGGTACCCTATTGTTCTAGAATCCAAAAGTATTCCCCCAAAGTTCATCTTTCCCAAATTATTTCTCTCTCTAGAACTTGAAGAAAAAAAAAAGAGGGAGGTTGAAGCTAGGGTTCAAGAAGCAAAGCTTTCACCAATTTCATTGGGATTCATAGCAAAGGTATGGTAGTCCTTCATCCATGGATAGCTTTCATCCATGGAGCCCTTCCAAACACAATTTCTAAACTAGCGAATTCCCCTAAAAAGTTAGGGTTTGAGTTCAATCTTATGGGTTCTTTCCAAAAACGTTTTTAATTGTTGATTTATGATGGATTATAATTGAATTAATGATTAATTGATTATTTATCGCTGAATTATGGTGAATTCCCCGATGAACCCATGAAACCCCATATTCCCCAATTTTGAACTTGTGATGTGGGTTTGTTGATTATAGAAGAATACTATGGGATTATGATTGTGGTAGTTGAGTTAATTGAATCATGTTATTATCCATGCCTAATGTAATAATTCTAGGTGTTTTGATTGAATGTGATCCATGGTCCTTGAAGGGAAAAGTATGATAATTTTGTATAATCATGATGCTTATGTACATGCTTTGTGAATACTTGAAAGTAATGTGATTATGACTATAATGTAATTATGATGATGTGAAAGGCTTTCCACACCTAAATGAATCGGTAGGCTAATGGCATCACTTTTATAAATGACTATGAAGTATTCTAAGGCTTTGTCTTGAATCGGTAGACCAATGGTATCCCTTTCATGATGAGTCAATGAACTACTGTAATGATGAACCTGAATTGGCAAACCAATGGTATCCCTTTCATGAGGATTCAATGAGCTATTCTAATGATGTACCTTGAATCGGTAGACCAAGGGTATCCCTTTCATGTGTAATAATGTTAAAAGAGAATGAACTATTACATGGGAATTTAATGCTTAGCACCGAGTGGATATTGTGAGGTGGAAGCTCTCCCCATGTAAGGCCGGGTTTCTATGTGCCCATATAGGTTATTAGCTAGTGGATCCACCTAAGGTAAAATGTTACGAGTTCTACCTTAGGCAAGTAGACCAACACTTTTCGATGTGGGACATGACACCGGATTCCAAGATTTGCTCACTTGGTCTATGTCGGTTAGGTCTTATTCCCATCATGAACAAGAATGTGAGTTATGTACTATGGTTACTCAAGAAGCTCTATGAAGTGTGGGCGGGGGTATGGGACGTCATCCATACATTGCACAAGTAGACTTTGAGAGTGGTTATAGTGTGTTCCTCAAATGTTATAATGTCTTATGAAATGAATATGCTTATAATGATGCTATTGAGAATGTTGATAGGAAGGCTAAATGTAAAGTTGAATGCCTAACTCGGATTGATGCTATATGTTGCTTTCCTTGACATGACTTATTAAATGTGAATGTTCCTTGTCTAATAAGTATTAACTAAATATGAGAATAGAGAATGGTTAGTATGATTATGGTGGCCTAAAAGTGGTACTTAGTGTAGATGGGATTATGGGATCTTTATCTATACATTGCACAAGTATAACTTAGGGTTACTTATGAAATGGTTCTATTATGCTATGATGGTTTATATGTTGAATATGCTTGTGACTTATGCGTTTACACTAAGAGTGCATGATGATTCTCAAACTTGGTAAATGCATGCTTTTCAACTAAAAAGTCCTTTTTATCATATTTTCAAGGATTTTTATGCATGGCTATCATACTTAGTGCATTTTTGTACTAACCCATATTTTATACATTTTTCACAAAGTGTAGGTTCCGGTTCTTAAGTTGATCTTCTATTGGTTCAAGCTTGGATCAACTATTCTCCTAGCTTGTGGTGAGTCCTCAATATTCGAGGACGTATGAGTAATTAGTAGTTTTTTCTAGTACCTTTATGTTTTGTAGTACGTTGAAAAGGGTTGGGACTCTATTATTGATTCGAAAATTGTATTAGATGGCTAATTGAGACAAGTTAGACTTCCGCTTGCTTTTATAAAAGAATTTGATTGTACGGATAAAAGTTTTAAATTCTGCATCATTTCTTTTATCTTATATTATGATATGCTAAGAGCTTGTATGAGACCTTTCGAGGTCGACTACGCCATGTCACATCTAGGGTGTACCCCTGGATCGTGACAAAGTTGGTATTAGAGCACAAGGTTTAGAATGATTCTAGGACGATGTCTCATTAGCCACGTCTAGTAGAGTCTTATTCATAGTATGAAACGTGGCACATTTATGAATGAGAGGCTATAAGATGTTAGGAAACTACACTTCTTTCATTACTCTTAAGTTATGCCATAGAGTTTAACTCTATAAAGTCCATCTCTTAATCTATCTTTTGTGTCTTTAGGATATGAATGCACGAAGGGCTAACACAAGGAGAATGGAGGGTAACAATGTCAATGAAGAAGCTCCTTAAGAGAATTAAGCTCTTCAAGCTAATCAAGCTTGGATTAATCATCCGGCTATGTCGGAGGCAGAGGTTAGGTTGGCTCTTCTAATGTTGGCCCAAGTCGTGACAACTCAATCCCGAGCTATGACAGCCCAAGCCAATAGAGATGTTGGAACTTATGTGAACCCTAATGTGAACTACACGGATTTTAGATTGAGGGATTTTGTTAAAATGAACCCTCCCAAGTTTCTTGGTTCCAAAGTGGGAGAGGATCCTCAAGAATTTGTGGATGAGGTTTACAAGATACTTGATGCCATGGGGTGACTTCGGTAGAAAAAAGCAAAGCTAGCCGTTTACCAATTGAAGGATGTTGCTCAAGTTTGGTATACTCAATGGAAGATAAATAGGCCGGTAGAAGCGGGTCCCATTGATTGGGAGGTGTTTAAGGAAGCATTTATTGATAGGTTCTTTCCCCGTGAGTTGAGGGATGCCAAGGTGGAGGAATTCATTAACCTTAGGAAAGGTAGCATGAGTGTTCAAGAGTATGCTTTAAAATTTACCCAACTATCCAAGTATGCTCCATCTATGGTGGCAGATCCGAGGGATGGGATGAGTAGATTTGTGACAGGTGTGTCCGACTTAGTTGGAGAAAAATGTCGTACGACAATGCTCCATGATAACATGAATATCTCTAGGCTTATGGTGTATGCACAACAAATTGAGGAGTCCAAACTCAAGAGAAAGAATAGGGAGGTGAAAAGGGCTAAAACCGGTTCTCAAATATAGGTCTAATGGGCAAGGCCGACAAAAGTTTAAACAAGGGTATTTCGGTCAAGATTCCTCCAATACCCCCTAGGTCTAACCAAGAAAAGGGTAGTGGGTCTCCATTTCCTAATCCTACTTGCACCAAATGTGGACATAAGCACCATGGTAAGTGGCTAGTCGGTACGGATGGTTGCAATGGATGTGGAAAGAGTGATCATCAAGTGAAAAATTGCCCTACACTCTCGGCAAAAGGAATAGAGGCCAAGCAAGCTTCTCCTAGTGATCTGGTTCCCATTCCTCTAAATTATGGTCGCTTCTATGCACTCTGGTCTAGAGAGGACAAAGGAGTCTCTCCGGATGAAGGCACATGTATGTTGATAATTCCCTATAGATGTAAATGTTTTATTAAGATCCCTATGCTATTTGTGAGACTTTGATGTTAACCTTGGTAGGAGTTTACTACCAAGGGGGAGATGGTATGCTTAGAAAGAAAGATTGTTGAGAGTTTCAATATCCTTATCTCTTTCTTCTATCCCTATTCAAGCTTGAGACAAAGAGTTCCTTGTGGCTTGTTTTATGTTTTGGAGTCATGTGTCATTTATGAGTTTCCATGATCTCCTTATGTAAGCATGTTCTTGATGGAATTCATGTTTAGAAAGAAAATGAGTTTTCATGATTTATGTGTTCCTCATGTTGTTATGCATTTAGTATGAGTTGTCGATATGCTTCATGAGATGAATGTCAAACATGCTTTAACATGCTTTTGAGAGTAATTTCATAATTTGCTTCATTATATAGTGTTGAGCATACTTTGAGTTGGAGAAGGTAGTTTCTCCTACGAATTTGAGAAATGTTAAAGTTTTCATGCATAAAGGGTTGATTAGATGTAGTTCCTATTCCTTGTGTTGCATTGAATATGTTAAGATGTAGTTGATGTTTCCTCCTTTGAATTGTGCCTTATTTTGATGATTCATGCATGCTGGGTTGCTATTCTTGAGTCTTTAATTACGTAAGGCGTTTAAATTTACATTCAAGGGCGAATGTTCCCAAGGGAGAGATAATGTAACACCCCGTAAGTTAGTAGGGTAAATTAGAGCCTAACGTGAGGGTTAACGTCAAAAGTGAAAGAGGGCAAGGGCCTAATCTACCTTGGGAAGGGTGAAGGAAAATACTATTCCCTTGGACCTTTTGGCGAGGGGGCATCATGGTCACCCAAGTGACTTGGCGAGTCGCCAAAGTGCACTTGGGGTCACCTAGTGGACTGTCCCCATGGCCTAGCTGCTGGAAATTTGAGCGAGCAAGGTTGGGGATCGCCAACCCGTTTGGCGCATCGCCCAAATGTCTCTCCAATCGCCAAGTTGGCTGGATTCTTGGGGTGAGTTGCTGGACAATTTGGCTGACCAAGGGTCCCCTTGGCGAGCTAAATCGTGCAGGTTGGCAGCGTTTGAGTTTAAGCCTTTGGGGTATTGAGTTATTTTCCCTAAATTGATACCCTATTGTTCCTTTCTTTCCCTAGTAAAGTATATAAGCTTTTTAGACTCAAATTCCCCAAATTAATTCATTCTCCGTAGAATCCAAAAGAATTCCCCCACAGTTCATCTTCCCCAAATCATTTCTCTCTCTAGAACTTGAAGAAAAAGAAGAAGAGGGAGGTTGAAGCTAGGGTTCAAGAAGCAAAGATTTCACCAATTTCATTGGGATTCATAGCTAAGGTATGGTAGTCCTTCATCCATGGATAGCTTTCATCCATGTCACGACCCGAGAGTACCCCCTAGTCGTAACATGGCGTATTCGATCCCGAAGGGGTCTTATACAAGCCACATAGTCATTCATTGCATTTAATAATGAAAATAGTGCGAAATAATAAAAAAAACCTTATTTACATCCACACATTTAAACTTCATTAAAACAACTTTAAAAACACACAGCGGAAGTCTAAGTCTCACATGACCATCTTAGACACAGTCACAAAACATAAGTAGGGACACGACCCTTTACAATCAAAAGAAGTCTATTAAGTCTATTACATGAACAAAAGAACTTAAAAGTCTTATCCTCGAATCCATGAGGACATACCAAGTCTTGGAGGAAAGCAATCCAACACTTCAAACTAGCTAGGAGGGATCACTTGCCGGAACCTACACTTATAGTAAAAATATGAAGAATATGGGTTAGTACACAAAATGTACTAAGTATGATGACCATGCAAGACATGCTTTAAAAGGGACATTTTGGTTAGAAACCATGCATTATGCCACTTTTTGAAGTACCATGAATAGTTGCATAAAAGACATACAATACAAGCATAAACATCAAGTAAGTCATAATATTACCTTTAAACAATTTCAACATGAAAACCTTTACCTTGGACCTTCACCTCAAGAAACCCTTATGTTATACCTCGTGCAATGTATGGATGGTGTCCCATACCACCATCCATACTAAGGCACCACATTAAGGTCACTTAAGGTAACTTATCATTCCTTTCTTTCACCTTTGCACAATATTCATACATAAGAGGTATATCATCACTTAAGACATGACAAGGGAAAATAACTCGTAATATAACCCAAGTATAGCATGCATCTCACATTAAGCATTTGAGAGCCAACATTCTTTAATAACCTCATTTAGGCCACAATTGTATCACATACATTAGGATTTAGAGAAACTCACTATGACCCTTTCCAAGCCTACTCGTGCAATGTATAGGTAGCATCCCATACTACTACCTACACTTTGTAGAACCTATCAAGAAACCATAATGAAATCTCGCATGATGGGAAGTAAGCGTTTAACCGACATAGACCATGAGAGCTTGTCATGGAATCCGGTGTCATAAGTCCCCACACCGTAAAGAGGTGGTCTACTTGCCTAAGGAAGACCGGTATATAGCTTAATGGATCCACTAGCTACCTATGCGGGCACATAGTTTATGGGATAAGGTAGACGATCATTGAAACTCATGCCTAACTATTGGGAGAGTTTCCATCTAACCAAATCTACTCGGTGCTTAGCCAACATTCCCATAGAATAGTTCGTTACCTTGACATTATCACATATGAGAGGTGCCATTGGCCTACCAACTCCAAATTACATTTATTAACACGTGAAAGGGTGCTTTAAGCCTACCGTTTCAAGGTTCATTTAGGAAAGCTCATTAACTCCTCTTGAAAGGGTGTCATGGGCCTACCGGTTCAAGTCTCATCATTAACCTTCATGGAAAGGTGCCATAGGCCTACCGATTCCAAGGTTCATTATAAGCTCGTGTGGAAGGGTGCCACTAGCCTACCGATCCGAGGATTCAACAATCAACAATATAATCATTTATACAAGAAAATGATGCATAAGCCCTACCAATTCAAGGTATACTTTATATTGAAGAATACTTCATATTCTATCATCAACATTTATTAGTGTCAAATTGAGAAATAATCTTTCAATAGCAACACCTTTACGTTCATAACATGATCACATTATCTTCATTGAATTCTCATTCATATAATGTCATGATAAACTCCAATTTCTCATACTATGCCTTTAAGGCCATGGTCACAATAAATTCCATAATTAAACACCTCCACCATAAGTGGATCAAACCAAGCAAGAACAATTTTTATCCATAATATGAGATTAAGCCAACTTACCATCCTCCAAAGCCATAATAACCATTACTCAATTCCCAACAATTCTATCACACAAGGTGATTCACCCATAATTTCCCATAAGGCCACAATCCTCAATTCATCCATATACCAACAATTCATCTTAAATAGATATACAAAACCATATAAATCAACAATACAATCCGATCTAAACAAATTTCATCAACATTAAATCATAGGCATTAAACCCACTTCATAAGCAAATTCGAGGCTTTTAATGAAAACATGGGTTCTGAAGAAGTTTCATATAAAATCATCTTAAAATCATAAATACAACTTCAATTCACCAATATAATGACTTTGAAAACATTTTACCCATGAACCCATACCTAGAATGGAAAATAGAAGTTTTGTTCTTTGAAGACGTTTGAAACCCTTTTTAATGGACTCCTTGAAGGAAAGATAATCAAGGATCAAGGGTCACCATACCTTTGCTATGATCTCCCACGAAATTTGATGAAGAAAGCCTTGAATCCAAAGCCCTAGCTCCCACTTCTTCTTCTTCTTAATGGAGGATTGTAGAGAGGGAAATGTTTTAGGGATGGGAATTGAACTAATGGTATCTAGGAAATAATATATGTCCTTTGAAAGAATGGTCCAACACTTAGCAAAAAAATGAGGCGGGTGAACAGTAACCACGCCTACTGGAAATTGCCTTTTCCTGCCGAACAGATTTTACGAAAATGGGCATAACTTCTTCGTCTGAATTCCGAATGAGATGAAACGAAGTGCGTTAGGTAGCTACTCAAAGGGATTTCCATGGATATATTATTGGCCACCCAAATAATTTGTGTGCTAGGAGATATGACCCTCCAAAGTAGACCCTCGAAAAGGCTTCACTTGGAAATTTCGGATTTTGATACGGTTGCTCTAAAATTTGGGTTAGACCCATTTCCCACTCAATTTGACCCCCTAAACAAGAATATGAAGTCGGATTTTCGAAAAACGAAACGGATCTTTTTATATACAGCTAAACAAGTTTCCGGTAACTTCCGAAGCACATTTTTAAGAACTTTTTGGGTCAAATTCAAATATAATCATTTCATTAAGTTCTCGACTCCAAACTCACATGTGAGGCTCTAGTTTCACTCTATCATTTTCCGGTCGTTACATTATCACCCACTTAGGAACATTCGTCCTCGAATTACACACTAAACACATAAGGGGTAACAACTCAAGTATACAGCCCATCAACATGCATACAACATCAATACAAGTACATAAATATCGGAGGAAACTTCAACTCCACATCAATGAGGCTCAAACAACTTCATGCAATTCAAGAAATTAGAAATACATCTACCAATTCCTTATGCATCAAACTTTACCATTTCTCATTTCATTGGATGAACTTCCTTCTCCAATTTACATCACACTCATCCAAAATTATTAGGCACATTATGCAATTTTCTCATAAAAGTACAATTATGCAAACATTTAAGCATGTTCAACATTTATCCTCATGAAGCATATAGACAACTCAACTAAATGCACATCAATATGAGGAACACATTTATGAAAACTCATTTTATCATTTAACAAGAATTCAAATAGGACATGCATAACATAAGGAGACCATGGAAACTCATTTTCACCCAAGACTCCAAAACATAAAACAAGCTACTAGGAACTCTTGGTCTCAAGCTTGAATAAGAATAGAAGAAATGAGATAAGGATATCAACACTCTCAACAACCTTGTTATTCAACATAGCATCCCCCCAAACCCAACTAAGGCAAACATGAGAAACAACAACATAGAAACCTCATCAAGACATTCATGACCATAAGGAACTAAAACTTACCGGCGCCTTTTCTCGAATTAGCTTCCTTGTCCTTGCTAGCTTGGAGAGCATAGAAACGACCATAATTTGGAGGAATAGGAACCGTTCCATCTTTAGAAGCTTGCTTTGCCTCTCTTCCTCTAGCCGTAAGAGTAGGACAATCTTTCACCTTGTGATCATTCTTTCCACAACCATAACACCCATTAGTATGGCTAGGCACTTCCCATAGTGCCTCTTGCCACAAGTGATGCAAGTAGGTTTAGAAAATTGAGATTCACCATTTTTTTCTTGGTTAACCTTAGGAGCACTTGAAGAATCTTGGTCTTGAGCCCTCTTCTTGAACCTAGGTTGACTTTGCTCATCGGATCTACCCCTCTTTACATTCCCTATTCATCCTCTTGAGTTTGGACTCCTCAATGGATTGAGCATACACTATGAGCCTAGAAATGTTCATGTCATTATGGAGCATTGCCGTATGGCACTCTTCCTTGACTAGGTCGGATACACCGGTCACAAACCTACTCATCTCATCCCTAGGGTTTGACACCAAAGATGGAGCATACTTAGACAATTGGGTAAACCTCAAGGAGTATTCTTGCACACTCGCATTCCTTGCCTAAGGTTGATAAACTCCTCAACCTTACACTCTCTCTTCTCACGGGGAAATACCTACCAAGGAAAGCTTCCTTAAACTCCTCCCATTCTATAGGATCCGCTTCCACCGGCCTATTAGCCTTCCATTGAGTGAACCAAATTTGGGCAACATCTTTCAATTGATAGGAGGCAAGCTCCGCCTTTTCTTTTGAAGTCACCCCCATAGCAGTCACTACCTTATACATTCATCCAAAAATTCTTGGGATCCTCTCCCACCTTAGAACCTAGAAACACTGGAGGATTCATCCTCACAAAGTCTGTCAACTTAGAAGCCATAG